TGCCCTTCGTGGCCCCCGCTCGTTCGCGCCCTTCGTTGTCCCATACGCATGCGTTTCGTCGCCACGCTGTCGCCATTCGCGGCCCCCTCGCTGCCCTTCGTGGCCCACTTCCTGCGCTCAGTGGCCCCGCTGTCGCCCTTTCTGGCCCCATATATGTATGCCCTTCGTGGCCCCCGCTCGTTTGCGCCCGTCGTGGCCCCATATGCATGCCCTTCGAGGCCCCGCTGTCGCTCTTCGTGGCCCCCTCTCTGCCCTTCGTGGCCCCGTTTCTGCCCTCAGCGGCTCCGTCGCTGCCCTCTGCGGCCCCCCATACGTATGCCCTTCGGGGCCCCCGCTCGTTCGCGCCCGTCGTGGCCCGTGCCAACAGTCGCCACTCAAAGCGCAAATCATCGTCCTCCCTTCGTCTTGCCCCTCCCCTCCCTTCCTCCGATCCCTTCGTCCTCATTCTCCCCCGTTATCTGTTACCCTTCGTTTTTCAAGGGTTTCACCAACCACACGTGGCAGGGAATGAATATACCCCCAAAAAGGGGGTACGATCGAATGACGCGCGAGCAGATAAGAGCGAACATTATTAAACTGATTGGTGTTGTTGTTGTTGTTGTTGTTGTTGTTGTTGTTGTTGTTGTTGTTGTTGTGGTGACACCCGCGACCCACCCGCGGCCCACCCCGCGACCCACCCCGCGACACACCCGCGACACACCCCGCAACCCACCCCGCGACACACCCCGCGACACACCCGCGACCCAACCCGCGACCCAACCCGCGACACACCCCGCGACCCACCCGCGACCCACCCGCGACCCACCCCGCGACCCATTCGTGACCCACCCCGCGACCCACCCCGCGACCCATTTGCGACCTACCCGCGACCCACCCCGCGACCCACCCTCAAAGGAGGAGAAACCACCCGGACCCGACAATCGACGTTTACTAAACGGCCCTGTGCGTTTGCTAAACAGCCCTGCCCTGTTCGATGTAGTCCTTCTGTGCGTTTACTAAACGGCTTCGCTTGTCGGGGTGATTATTATGGGATGGATGTTCTGCCCTCTACACCCGCGACCCACCCGCGACCCATTTGCGACCCACCCGCGACCTACCCACATTGGTTTAGCGAAAAAATCGGCGCTTGCGGCAGGCTTGTTGTATAGTTTGTGGAACTTTGGCGCCTGCGGTGGGCTTCTCCAGAGTCTCGCAAACTGCCGACGTCTCCGCCGCCCCCTCACTCTTATCCGCATCTGGTGGGTGTTACGTTATTTTCTCATTCAGCCTCTGTTGGGTCCTCGTTTCGAAGACACAGCGCCCCGCATCTCACTCCTACATCCCGCTGCCCCCTCCTCCCTCCTCCAATCCGTGCATCTGGCATCCGAATGTCTCTGTTTCGGCAAACCCCTGACCCGTTGCGTGGTCCAATAGCGTCCACGCCATACAGTTCGACTTACCCCTCACACGTTCCGTGACCTCATAGGGAGCTCTACCGAATGCCCTATTGGCGACGTTCGCATGCGTCCCCACCGCAGATATTGGCACACTCCTCACACGCTTCGTGGCCCCATTGGGAGCGCCACCTGAGGCCCCACTGGCGACGTTCGGCGTCCTTGCCGGCCATTGCGGCTGACCCCTCCCGCGTTTCGTGGCTCCATCGGGAGCTCCACCGAAGGCCCCAGAGGTGACGTTCGCATGCGTCCCCGCCGCACCGTTCGGCACACTCCGCACACGTTCCGTGGCCCCATAGAGGAGATCCACCGCTGGCCCCCGAGGCGACGTGCGCATGCGTTCCCGCCGCCCATTTCGGCACACTCCTCACACGTTTCGTGGCCCTAGGGAGCTCCACCGAACCGCCGCACAGTTCGGCACACCCTTCACACGCTTCGTGGCCCCATCGGGAGCTCCACCTGAGGTCCCAGCGGCGATTTTCGCATGCGTCTCCACCGCCAATCTTGGCACACACCTCGCTCCTGTGGCCACGTTCGCGTGTGTCCTCGTCGCACAGTTTGGCACACCCCTCATACGTTCCTTGGCCCCAAAGGGAGTTGAAGGTGAGGCCCCAGTGGCGACGTTCGAAGGCGCCTCCACCGCTTATTTTTCCCACACCCCTCAGGCGATTCTTGGCCCCATACGGAGCTCGACCTGAGACATCTGTGGCGACGGTCGCATGCATCCCCGCTGCAGATATCCGCATACCCTTCCCACGCTTCGTGACCCATAGGGAGCTCCACCTCAGGCCCCAGTGGCGACGTTCACACGCGTCCCCGCCGCACAGTTCGGCACACCCCTTACGTTCTGTGGCCCCATAGTGGAGCTCCACCGTTGGCGGCAGAGGCGACGTTCGCATGCATCCCCGCTGCCCATTGCGGCACTCCCCTCACACGCGTCGTGGCCCCATAGGGAGCTCCACCTCAGTCCCCAGTGGCGATGTTCGCATGCGTCCCCGCTGCCACGTTCTGCACACCCCTCACTCGTTCCTCGGCCCCATCGGGTGCGTCACCTAAGGCTCCAGTATCGACGTTCGCATGCGCCCCCGCCGCAGAAATTCTCACACTCCTCGCGTCTTTCGGGGACCCCATAGAGAAGCTCCACAGAATGCCCCATAGGGGACGTTCGCAGGCGTCCTTGCCGCGCATTTCGGCACACCCCTCACGTATTGCGTGGCCCCGTAGGGAGCCCCATCCGAGGCCCCAGTGGCGACGTTCGCGTGCGCCTCCGCCGCCCAGCTCGGCACACCCCTCCGTCGCGGGCCTCCCTGCCGCAGGTATCGGCACGCTCCTCACACGCACAGTCAGGCGAAACCGTCGCTCACTTCGTGGCCCCAGGGGGAGCTCCACCTGCGGCCCTGGTGGCGACGTTGGCACAGCTCACCAGCCTCGAACTTATCCTTATCCCTAAGATTGACACGCCAGAAGGCGATGACAGTCTTAGGGATGCGCCCCGAAAAACTAAGGGAATCCCTAAGATTGGCATTGTGATGAGGCGATGCCCTGCTCAGGGATACGGATATGTTCCAGGCTGGTAAACAGCCCTCGCTCGTTTTCCGTGGCCTCACAAGGGGGACTCACGGGCGCGTGTGCTCCCCCGCCTGTTTTTCGGCGTGCGCCTCACGCGTGTCGTGGCCCCACGTAGGGCTCGGTTCGGTTCCTCTGCTTCGATCCGATTCGATTTCGATGGATTCCGATTCCGGTCCGATTCGACTCCGGATTCAGAGTCGGGATCCGATTTCTCAACGGAGGCCCAAAAGACTGCCGATGTCCACCGATTTCGACTTTTTCCCTCTCGGCTGCCGATCTCCGCCGATCCGATTCATTTCGATTTCCTACTCGCTTTATCGATTCGATTCTGGGCGTTCCTGCCCACATGGAGCCACCTGCCTTGCCGCGCCCGCACTTGCTTAGACTCGGGTCCTTCGTCCGGATGTTTCCCTGGTCACGTCTCAGGCTCAGGGTTGTCTTTGTGTTGTAGCCGAAGAAGAATACAAAAAACACATAACTTATTTTTGTTGAGCCCCGCGCGGGTTTCATGGATCCGCGGGAGCGCCAATAGTTTCTGTTTGTGTGGCCTGTTCCTCTTCTATGCAGGGCCCTCGGTTGTAGACCTGATAGGGGGGCATGGCATTGAGCGGGGTGCGTCGACGTTGTTCCGCGCGCAGGCGTGCCCGCGCAAGGGAGCGGCAGGCGTCCGCAGGCGGCCTCTCACCTGCGTCTCGGCATGCCCGAGGTCGAACGTTGGCCGAATTCGAAACCGAGCCGTCTGAGTTGGTGGGCTTGTTTTCCACCACCACCATAAGTTGGAGGGGGGAAGGAGGTGGAGGACGAGGAGGAGGACGAAGAGGAGGAGGAGGCGGAGGAGGAGGACCCCCTGCCCCTCCAGCTTCTGGTGGTGGTGGTGGTGGACAACAGGCCCATCATGAGTGGCCCTTTCACCAGGAGCAGGTCGCCCTTGACATTTCCTGCGAGGACCTCCCAGAAGCCGGCTCCGAAAGATGCGCGAGGCGGTTGCAAAACAGGGCTAGGATCGGGATACATCGCTCCAGAGCGTTCCGGAGCGCTCTCAGAGCGTTCTGGAACGCTCTGGAGCAGCCGCGGCGCCCAATACATCCTCCAAACCCGCCGATTCTCAGAGATTTCGAGTTATCCCGATCCGATTTTGTCCCGATTTCGCGTTGTTTTAGGTTTCTGCGGGTCTCTTGAGCTCTGCCCATGTCCTCGTGGGCGATGCACACGTCCGTGCCCGCGGTCTCTCGCGGGCCGAGCACGTGGATGCCGCGACCCCGCGGCTGCGCGGCGCTTCTTTGCTCGCGGATGCGCGGCGGTTCTTTGCTCTTTGTTGCCTCCTCCTCCTCCTCCTCCTCCTCCTCCTCCTCCTCCTCCTCCTCCTCCTCCTCCTCCTCCTCCTCCCCCCTCCTCCTCCTCATCCTCATCCTCCTCCTCCTCCTCCTCCTCCTCCTCCTCCGTCTCCGCCTCCAGCTCGGAAGGTGTACCCGTGCGACTGCATATTCGAGGGATCGCGTCCTGGAGTCCAGACCGCAAGGGCGCGGAAACCGACATGTTCGCCGTTCGTGATCCGCCACAAAAAGGTATGCGAAGACACCCTCCACTGGATCGTTCCGGGGCCTCAGGGGAGGGCGGCGGTGTATAAACCACCACTGGTGGCCAGCGATTTTATGAGATTGTTTTTTATCCTCTGGGGGGTAACGCTCGTTACCCGGGCCTCTCCCCCCCCCCCCCCCCCGTAACGGTAACGCTCGTACGCGGGGGGGGTCTCGGTCTTCCCCTCCAACATGCTGGTGCCCGAAGGCATGCGCACTGTGGTGTGGTGGTCGCAGGCGCACTGTGGGCGCTCGCAGGCCATTGCGGCGCTCGCATGCGCGATGCTGGTGCTTGCGGGCTTTGCGCTTGTACTCGAATCGTCGTCGTCGTCGTCGTCGTCGTCGTCGTCGTCGTCGTCGTCGTCGTCGTCGACGGCGCCCGAAAACGGCCTCCGGAGGCCGAAACAGGCGGCAAACGTCGTCGTCGTCGTCGTCGACCTCGTCGCTCGTCGCTCGTCGATCATCGTCGTCGCGCGCGCGGGCGCGGGCGTGGTGCCGGGACCACGCGGCGGGCTTTGCGCTTGTACTCGAATCGCAAGCCACTGTGGTGCTCTCAGGCAGAGAGTGCTGCTCGCGCGCATACTATGGCGATCGCAGAGCGCCCCTGCTTCGCCATACCCCGCCCAGCCCAAGCGTTACCGTTACCCGGGGGGCACGACCCCCCCCCCCCCCCGGGTAACGAGCGTTACCGGCCGGAATAAAAAAATGATCTCTATTCACAGGGAGGCATCTGCAAAATCCGTCGGAGGGTGTTTGTGTGTATGTATGTATGTATATATAGTGCCGTTTTTAAATACATGCTCCGCGTGCGGATCATGTATGAAAAATAAAAGGATTTAGTATTAAAAACAATGATGAGTTTATGCATGGATTTATTCGTAAACTAATCATGTATTAAAACTAATATTTTTTAAATCCCATATATTAAAAGTTGCCCTGTATATATATATATATAGAGAGAGAGAGAGAGAGAGTGGTGACGTACGTGAGGTCCCCCCGGGCCCTGCCCCTGCGGAGGACTTTGTGGAGAACGCGTGGTGGAAAGCATCCCCGCCGGGTGGCGCTGGGCTGCTCCCCGCCGCGCGGCACGAGTCGGAGGTCGTGGAGTTCGACGCGGGCGTCCACGAAGTGGACCAGGCGACTGGGTGTTCGCTTCGGGGACCTGCCTGGGGCCCACGAGTCGGGGGGAGAGGCACTGTTCGGCTGTTCGGCAGCAAGTGATGGGAGCCTCGTGCTACCCTCTTGAATTCCGTGTGTCACGTCGGTTCGCGTCTGGGAGTCGATGAGATGGCGCCGAATTAGCGCCGAGTTAGCGTCGGTTAGCGTCGATCTAGCGTCGATTTAGCGTCGATTTAGCATCGACTAGCGTCGATTCGCAAGAGTCGACAAGATGGTATGGGAGGCTTCAATTAGTTGCCGCCGAGCACGAGTCGGGGAAACAGGTACTGGTGCTGCTACGCTGGCTTCGCTTTCGCCTTCTCGGGCCTTCTGGGGGGCCCTCGTCGCCACAGCTGGATTCGCTCCGAAGTTCTGGTCAGGGCGCACCCCGGGAGATGTCCTGGGAGTAGCAGTACAGTGGAGACCCATGCCAAGAAGCACCCTGCTTGCCTCCAGGGTGCCCTGGGTTTCTTGGATTTCTATGGTTTTGCGATAAAGCGTGAAGTTCCCACGCCAAAAGTCAGTGGACGTCCTGGGGTCTCAGGGTTGGGTTTCTTGTGGAAGGATTCTTGTGGTCGAGCTCCTACTGGATGGTTTTTTGTGTCCTGGTGTGAAGCGGGTGGTGCCGGGAAGGTCTGGGTGGAGCGGGTGGCTCCAGGATGGTCCCCCGAACGAGCATCCGGAGGTGATTTGGGCTCGGTCGCTGACGCCACTGGACCCGCGGACGGACGCGTGCTCGAGCGTTGGCGACGAGGACTCCAAGATGAGCCTGTTTTTCACCACCACCATAAGCTGCAGGGGGGGAGGAGAAGGAGGAGGAGGAGGAGGAGGTGTAGGACGAGGAGGAGGAGGAGGAGGAGGAGGAGGAGGACGAAGAGGAGGAGGAGGAGGCGGAGGAGGAGGAGGAGGAGGAGGAGGAGGAGGAGGAGGACCCCCCCTCTCCAGCTCATGGTGGTGGTGGAAAACACGCCCATCACTCCAAGGCGGCAAGAGCATACACGCCGATGCTTGCGCCACTCTCGCACATTCGCCCACGTGGGCCTCCTCGGCGGCTCTCGTCGCCGCGGCCGGATTCAGCTCGAGATCCTGGTCTGAGCGCATCCTGGGAGGCGTCTGGGGAGCAGCGGTATCGGAGTGTGTGCTGATCCTTCCAAGGACGACTTCGAGAGCGCGTGGTGGAAGTCCCAAGCCCCGCCAACGAGGCCTCATGCACGCCTGCCTGCACGGACGGATCCGTACTGCTCGCCCTCCAGCGACGAGTCGGAGGAGCCTCGACTCCGATCGGCGAGTGGGCAGGCGTCCTCCTCCTGGCATTGGTTTGCCCTTCGAGCGCCTCCTTTCCCCCCCCCTCTCCATCTTGCACTCCTTCCCCCCTCCCTCGTCCTTCGTCTATTCTCCCCCTCCCTCACCTACAGCTGTTGCATATCATTCATACTGCTCTCTCATCTCCTCTGGTTCTGTGCGGCAGTCGGTCGGCCATTTCCGCGTACCGTCTTCTGCGCACAGAGTTTCGAACATTGTTTGGCATGTGCTGTTGCAGTCCGATGGATTTCGGTGCTTCAGAAACGACGGTGCTTCCGCTGCAGCGCGGGCCGACTTTTCGGATCGGTGCCTGCGTTCCCGTCTTTCAGACTGGCGTTCTCGCCCCGGCGCGGGACACGCTTTTGGACTCAAGTTCTTGCTCTATCGTGGTCGCCCCCCTCGTTTTCCCATTCTCCGCCTTTCCCCTGATCCTCCTGCTCTTCCCACTTCTTCCGCTCCAGTTTCTCTTCTTCTGCTGTTTGTCCTCGTCCTCCTCCTCCTGTTCTTCCCGCTCCTCCCCCTGCTCATCCGCCGCCTCATCCTCGTCCTGTGTGCTCAGGTCCCCTTTTCCGATTGCGCCTAACACCACGCGGTCTTCTTGTTGAAGTTCTAGATCGGCTATGATACACGTCCGCGGATAGAGAACATATCAGCGCAATGGGATGCGGCGGGAGGGAGGGATAGGATGTAAGATATGGTGCGACCGTCCCTAGCTCGTCCTCCCTTTTCTTTCACCTCTCGACCTGATTGCCGGCTTCCTTTTTCCCCCGCAAAGGGCTCACACGCGCACATGATTTCAAACTTTCACAGTTTAGATTCGATTCTGAATCGGAATGCTTTTTGTTATTGGTGCTCCCGCTTCAGCTTCGTCCTCATCTCGGGATTGTCGCTTTGCTCCCGTGGTTCAGAATGGCGTTGCCGCCTCAGCGCCGCCCATCTTTCTGAACCTGATGCCTTTCTCGTCGCTTCACACACTTCGTTTCTTTTCCCCGCCCTCGCCTAGTTTTCTTGCTCCTGTCGCTCCTCCTGCTCTTGCTGTTTCTCCTCCGTCTCCATCGTTCTTATCTTCCTCCAGGGCTTATCTTCGTCTTTCTCATCTTCCTCATCCTCATCTTCCTCCAGGTTTTGCCTTCGTCGTTCTTACCTTCCTCATTCGTATCTTGCTCCAGGCTTTATCTCCGTCATCCTTGTCTTCCTCATCCTGATCTCCCTCCAGGGTTCATCTTTGTCATTCGCAACTTCCTCATCCTCATCTTCCTCAAGGGTTTATCTTCGTCATCCTGACTGACCTCGTTCTGATCTTCCTCCAGGGTGTATCCCCGTCATTATTGCCTTCCTCATTCACATCTTCCCCCAGGGTGTATCTTCGCCCCTCTTGTCTTCCTCGTTCGCCGATGTATCGGCGATGCGGCCCGATCCTCCGGCCCCATCTATTCCGACCCCATCTAGGAGGCCTCTATAGCAAAGTTGCATTGTTGTTTCAAGTGTGAGGTGAACTCTCCCGTACGAGCCCCTCCTTGAGAAGGGGCTACTCTCCGTCCGGAAAGATATGCAAAGCTGCATGTTTTCAAGGGTGAGGCGAACCCTCCTGTAAGAGCCCCTTCCTGGAAAGGAGCTACTCTCTAACTTGAACGGGATGCAAAGCTGCAGGTATTCAAATGTGAGGCGAACTCTCCTGTAAGAGCCCCTTCTTGAGCAGGAGCACCCTCTATCCCCTCTGTTCCTACAGAAACAGAACAGAGGGGGTCTCCACCGATAGTCACGCGTTGAACATGAACCGCCTACATCCGAATGACTGTTGAGCCAATGTGTCGGCTTCTTGCTGCACACACGCACGCGCCGACAACGTCTTCAGTGAGATCCGAACTCTGAATAAAACAGCCCTCCCCCGTAGGTGACCCTTGACAGCACACAGCCAGAGTGCGGCCGACCTCTCTGGCCCCCGTGGCCTTTCCATTCGTTTTTTTTGTTATATGGTTTGATCGGTCAACTTTGTTGGACGCGTGATTAACATGCGCATCGTCGCACCAGCAGTTGCGCGCGTCTGCCCGCGCTTGCGCAGCCAACGAGATCTCCGAGGCGTTAGGTAATGAATCATTTATACACTCGCGGGCACTTGAGGAGGGCGGCTCGAACGAGTTTCATCATTAATCTATTCCACAAATGCAATCTGATTTCTCGCGGGCCGACACGGGCGCCGACGCTTGCGCCGCCCCGTTGGTCGGTCAATTTCTTGATGAGTGAGTTTCTGTGCGTATTTGGGTGTTGTAGGAGGAGCCCATTCTCCATCTATGAGTTTTTATCCGCATGCGCTTGCAAATAGGAAGCGCTCGTTCACCGCTGTCCCTGGACCGCCCGCTCTCGGTCGCCGCGCGTGCGCCCTCTCTACGCCTCCCAGATGGGGTCGGAGTTGATGGGGTCGGAGGATCGCGTAAGCATCGGCGATGCGCTGGCGATGCATGGGCGACGCCGGCGACGCATCGGCGACGTCGGCGTGGCTAAAATCGGTCTTCCGATCGATCCGCATCGGCCCCATCCTCCGACCCCATCTGCGCGGACCCCATCCAGGAGGCCTCCACTCTGTCCCTCGTGCGAGCTTGTGCTCCCAGCCAACAGCTCAGACTTGCGGGTTGCGTCCACCGCCAGAGCACAGTTCGGAACGGGCCCCCCCGCGGGGGGCTCTTTGGGGCCTTCTCGGGGCGACCCCGCAGACCACTCGGGCATGCTGAGATGTCCGTCCGCGCCCAGAGGCCGTCGCAGGCCGCACGAAGCCAGCAGCGCCCAACAATTTTCTTTGCCCAGTTTCGTCGTCATCGTCTTTGTCCGTCGTCGTCGAGCGCTCCCCCAGTCCCCCAGTCGTCGTCGTCGACCTTTTTCCCTCGGCACTGCATGTTCATCCGTCCCCTGCTCTGCCTTCATTTCCCTCTCCGCCCCCCGTCCCCCTTCTCTTTCCCTCTCGCTCTCTCTCTCTCTCTCTATTCCTCTGTCTCTTTCTCCTTAGATCTTTCTATCTTTTTTGTTGTCCTCTCTCTCTCTCTCGTTCTGTTGTCAGTCTGTCTTTTTTGTTTCTCTCTCTCTCTCTCTCTAACTAGTTCTTGTAATTTGGGATTTTTCATTTAATCTACAAGCAGTGCTTGTCCTACCTGTTCCCCACAGCGTGCTCCTCTAAGCTTGTTTTTTTTGCTGTTTTGTTTCTTATTGACTTATAAATATATAGATATAAAAAACTCTGAAAGCCTGGTGGCTAGGTTGTCGCAGTCGCCGCCCCGTCATCGCCTCGTCGCCGCCCGTCGTCTGGGCCTGACTGTTAGCCTGGCTGCGATGTTTGTCGCCGTCGCCGCCTCGTCGTCTTCCGTCGTCTTGATTTGAATGTCGGTCTGGCAGCTATGGCGTCGCCGACGCCGCCCCGTCCGTTCGCCGCCGCCCCTTTGCACAACATTCATTGCACCTCATTGATTGCACCAGTGCGAGTGCACCACATAGTTTGTACTACGTATAGTGCTCCACGCATAGCTCCCAGCAGATTGCGCAACACAATTTGTTTTGCACACAGCTATCACAACACATACAGCTCACATAGTATGCACCGCATATGTTGCCTTGCATATACCGGGTTGCATCGATTGCACTACATAGCTTACACTACAAACCTTGCACCCTATAGACAGCACCACGTAGCTTATGCCAGATGTATTGCACCTCCTAGGATCCTCAGCATATACTGCACCACGTGTGTTGCACAATGTAGATTGCGCAGTATATATATATATATATATATATTGCACACCATATCCTTAAGGGCTTCGCCCCCTGCCGCCAGCCCCTTCTCTATCAGAATGGGATATCTCGGAATCGCGGCGGTGCGTCTCGGCGCTGCCTTGGTGCATCAGGGAACATCATGCGGGGCGGGTAGGGATAACCAACGCATGTTAAGATGTTGGCGTTATCCGAGCGGCCGTCGACCCATCCCGCCACCGTGCTTGGGTTGTGGGCCTGAGGTCTCTTGTATATGCGTTGGGGTGTCGTGGGGAACCACTCGGTGGCCTCTTGGACGCGGTCTGGGCGCCTCTTGGGGGCCTCTTGGGGCCTCCTGGGGTATCTGTTGCGCCTCTTCAAGGCCTCTTGGGCGCGTCTTGGGCGCCTGTTAGGGCCTCTTGGGGCCTCTTGACGGCCTCTTGGGGCCTCCTGGGCGGCTTCCCCAGGCACATATATCTATCTATCTATATCTATATCTATCTATCTATCTATCTATCTATCTATCTATCCATCTATCGATCTATCTGTATATATTATAGCTCGTGCCCAGTGCAGAATTGCTGTAGCGTGATTTGCCACACTAGTCGCCCTTTTTTTTCCGCGTGGCCCAAGCACGGCCAACGGCCACGGGAAACATGTAGCATGCTCCCGGCTTTAGACAGTCAGAACGTGAACATGTGTATTTCTCGAGGTGCCCGTCGTCTCTGTACGTCGGCATTTCGGCTCAAGTCTAAGTCACCGGCTCGCGCAGCCATATGAGCTCAGATAAGGCACAGTTCGCCTGGGTAATCGCGCGTTCTCGTGGGCTACGGGTATCGCCCAGAGCCCAAACATTGCTACTGCCAGTGCCCTGCGAACGAGTGCGTGTGCCCGCCGCTGGAGTGCGGCGCCCCCCTCCAGGTGATCACGGAGCTGTCCGTCGAGCATCGGACTGCAGCCACCACTTGCCCCGCCTGCCAGGCGGACAGCGCCAAGTGCACTAGCTTCTCGTGGATCCTCGTTCTCGCGCTGTTGACCAGCGTCTTCGTGGCCGGGTACGCGGGGTTCCTTGCAGGACGGCTCTGTGGGCGTCGGGCTCAGGCACCCCCAGCATCGCAGCCGACCAGCACCCTCATTCGGAGCGGGCCTTTCACGCCGTCGACGCTCGCTGCCCTTGAGCAGAAGTCGGCATCATGGCTGCGGCAGCGCAGGCCGGACAGATGAATCGAGCTCTGGACACTCCAGAGAAGCAGGTGCTGATCAATTACGACGACGATGCCAACGGGCTGCGCTGGCATCACAGGATCCTCCTGATCAAGGGAGGCGACAGCAGGTGGGTGGTGGCGACGCCGACGTGGAGCATCCAGTTCGCGGATCTGTCGCAGCATCACATCAGGGTGCTGCGGCGTAGCGCGGCAGTGGCTCGGGAGTACATGCCAGAAGCATTCCTCTTCGATCCGAACGCCGCGGACGCGGAGCTGGCGCGCGCGCGCGCGGAGGCTCTCGAGCTGGCGGAGATCGCGGGCTTCGACCTGACGGCGCACGCTGCGAGAGGAGCTGGGCAGGCCGCGGGGCTCGACGCGGTCCGGAGGATCGCGGACACGGGCTCTAGGGCTTTCAGCGAGGAGATCCCCGCCGCTGCCATGCGCGATCGGGAGGCGTCGGTGACCAGAGACGGCGTCACACTCATCAGGCTGGACGGGCAGTGGACCTACGCGGAGATGGTGGCCCCCGACAGGTTCGAGGAGCGGCAGCGTGAGACGCGTGCTGGACCTGGCCGAGACCCTCCCCTGCTCGGCGACGCGAGGGACAGGTCGGGTCAGAGTTTCGCGGGTGCACCAGCCGGGCTGAAGCTGACGAAGAAGGCGAAGCAGCCCGTGCCCGAGCTCGACGGCCCGCCGGCGCTCGAGGAGTTCGCCGAGGGGCTGGCGCGCGTGGGCTTCAATTTCGCGACCCGCAACCTGGACTGCGAGGCGAAGCGCGGCGTCGCGCCTCGCGGCGCCGTGGCCGGGGAACACATGTTCCTGAGCACGTGGCTCTACCTGATGCTGACGACCGACCAGCTCAACATCAGCAACCTGATCTCGGCCGAGCTGGCCACCCGAAGGCTGGTCCAGATCGAGGCAGCATGTCGGCGCAGTCCGAAGGTGCCGGGCTTCGACGGTCAGGGCATGATCATGGCGACGCCGGTTGGTCCAGGCGGCGAGGTGGCCACTCGCGACTTCGCCAAGTGCGTCGCTGATAGGCAGAAGGACGAGGGTTTCCTGATGAAGCAGCAGAGGCTCCTGCGCGAGGAGCGAGCAGCGGACGACGCGCGGCGGAAGGGCGGCCGAGAGGAGAGACTTCCCAAGAAGGGCGCCGATGCCTCTGGCACGAGTTAGCGCGCAAGCCAGGCGTCGCGGTGACGTGGGCCCTCTTTGCCCGAAGGATTCACGCGGGGCCATCGAGGCCTTCCAAGGGCAAAAGCCTGGGCGCCGACAGCGCGGCGATCCGCTGCCAGTTCTGGCGCCCCTTCAAGAGCGATTGGATTCTCTACGCGATCATCGGCGTTATCTACAGCAGCGTCTTCGGCGTCGGCGGTGTCTCGAGCGGCGGATCCACTCCATTTTTGGGCGCAGTCAACGCGCTGCAGGAGGGGCCGTCGCGCCCCTATCGGCGAGCCGATGCGGGGCGACACTCAGCCTTTCGGCGACCGCTCACCGGGCCCAGGACTCCGTCTTCGGCCGGGTGGCGCGCCGCGTCTCGTCGGCTGGGGGCCCCCCGACCGACCTGAAGTCGCGCGAAGCCCTCCAGGAGCTTCTGCGCATCAAGGACTTAAACACCGTGGAGCCTAGTAATCTGGGTTGCTACGATCTTGATCCGGTGAATTTACTCACCAGTGGCGTTTCCGTGAAGGACATGGAAGACCTGTTGCCCGATCAGCAGCGGGCTATGCTCTCGGACCCCGACCGCCACACTTTCAGAGACTCGTCCGAGCTCGAGTATGACACTGGCCACCTCGCTCCGTACTGGGATCCAAAGCTAAGGTTCTGCGCTTCCGACCGTCGGCGCCTGATCTTTCGGCAGGTGGAGCTTGGAATCTGGGTTGCTACGGTTTTGATCCGGTGAATATACTCACCAGTGGCGTTTCCGTGAAGGACATGGAAGACTTGTTGCCCGATCAGCAGCGGGCTATGCTCTCGGGCCCCGACCGCCACACTTTCAGAGACTCGTCCGAGCTCGAGTATGACACTGGCCACCTCGCTCCGTACTGGGATCCAAAGCTAAGGTTCTGCGCTTCCGAGCGTCGGCGCCTGATTTTTCGGCAGGTGGAGCTTGGGTTCGCTGCGTTTCGAACCTCGATCTGAGCCCGAGTCGGCCTCTTCTTCGCAAGGAAGAAAGATCGGCTGCAGCGCCTCATCGCTGACGCCGGTGAGCCCAACAGGATCTGCAAGCGACCTCCCCACTCGCGGCTAGGCACCGTGACCGCGCTGACGGGCGTCGAGCTGTCGGACGCAGCCATCCGGGCCAGCAGCCAGGACGATGGGGACCTCAGCTGGGTGAAGCCGTCGGCTGGGAGCGTCGACCTCTACAACGGGTTCTACCAGTTTCGGAGCCAGCGCATGGGGTCGTGGGATCGACTTCGCCGCGCGCGGACTACTGGGGCGTCTCCGAGGTGTTCTGTGAGAAGTCGGGCTTCTACCGAGCTGTGGCAGGGGGCGCCCCGATCTCCCCCGTCTTCGAAGGCATGGCCATGGGATGGAGTTGGGCGCTGTACTTTTGCCATGCTACTGCGGCCAGCGGCAGCGGCGTATTCCATCAGGGTATTTCACTAGGGCTTATGGCCTCGTTGGCGCAAATCTCGTGTATTTTCACGTGCCCCACGGCCCCCCAGGCATTCGGAAGACGTGACTCCGGTGTGGTAGCCAGGCGGCTTGGGGTCCCCCCCCCTCGCGTGGACAGCAACAGTTAACAACAGGAGGCAGACAATGAATACAGGAACTAGAGCCTGTAACTGGATCAGGGAGTAGCAAGCGTAAGCCTCGCAACCAAATGGCCCCGCAAGAAGGCAGGCGGATATTGCGTCACGAGTATTGTAGCACATTGTGTTTCAAATCTATTGCGCAGCCTATACTGCTCCACGTGGGCATCACACCATACATCCCACACCAGATATTGTACATCACAGTTTGCGGAACATATATCGCATAACTGAACAATCTTTATTGCAACACATATGGTGCCCTACATGGATGTCTCGACATCGATTGCACAGCGAACATTGAACGAAACACACTGCTTGGAACCACGCTGGCTTGGACGTTTTAGAGAATTTGTCTACAGTGTCGGGCCCGCCGCCTTGTTGTCGCCGTAGCCGCCCCGTCGCCGCCTCGTCGCCGTTCGTCGTCCAGGCTCCAATGTCGGTCCGGTGCCTCGTTGTCAACGTCGCCGCCCCGTCGCCGCCTCGTCGCCGCCTGTCGTCTGGACTCCAGTGTCGGGTCCGCCGCCTTGTTGTCGCGGTCGGCTTCGTCGCTGCCTCTTCGCCGCCCGTTGTCTGTGCTCCAGCATCGGGTCTGCTTCCTTGTTGTCGCCGTCGTCGCCGCGCCGTCGCCGCGCACCACGTAGATCACACCACATATATTGGACAGCATGTAATGTGCCCGATGGACTGCTCAACGTAGATTGTACCATATAGCTTGCGCCACATACCTTGTGCCACATAGTTTGCACTACACTGCTTACACCATATTTTATTACACTACTTAGCGTAACTACGCATATTGCACCACATCAATGCCATCATATAGCTTACACACCGCTTAGAACGCACCGCACATATACATATATATATATATACACGCACATATATATGTATATATATGTATGTGTGTGTAGGTATGTATTTGACGCGCTACATACCTTACTCAGAGTATCTCACATCGCATATATTGCACCAGATATGCTGCATCACATCGATTGCACTACGTAGGTTGATCACTATATTTGCTTGCATCATTTAGCTTGCGCCACATCGATTGCATTACCTAGTCTGCAATAACACATGTGGCTAACATGGTTGTTTCCGAGTAGGTGCAATTATCCGTCGTTGTCGTGCATCCTTTTTTCATCGTCTGAGCATTGTAATCTCGTTTCTGTCTTAGCCCTTGGGGACCTGTTGCTGCGCGGCGACTGCCTGCCGCCTGTGTGGGCGTTTCGTGGGCGCTGTGCGGGCGCTGCGTGGGCGGCGATTGTATGGGCGCCGGGAGGGCGCTGTGCCCGCGTTGCGTGGGCGCTGTGTGGGTGCTGTGTGAGCGCCGAGTGGGCTTGGCCGCGACTCTGTGAGCGCTGTGTGGGCGTGGCGTGGGTTGTTCCGGAGGCGTCAGTCTGGCTGGGCCAGCAACCCATTTTTTGGTGTGTGATTCCTACTCTCCAGCGGACGCTTGGCCTTTCGGCTGTCCTGGTCACCGCCGCTTTCATCGGTTGTGAAGCTATCTCGGCGTTCTGGGCCCGTTTGCGGACGTCATGCGGTTAATTTTGTATGACAGATCGGGCGGCAGACAGAACGCATCCACAATTCTTCGGCTCGTCAGCGCTGGCCGGTAACAGGAGACTGCGCAACTGGCAGCCTTTAGGGAGGGCGAGGTCTGGGACCCGGCTCCGCTGGACCTCCCAGGAGCTCGCGAGCGTGGTTGCCGTTGGCAGCCGCCAGGGAGGGCGAGGGCCAGCCTGGGTCCGCACAGGACCCCGCTCCGCTGGGCCTTCCACGAGCTCACGACTGCGTCGGCACTTGCGCAATTGGCAGGTCCCAGGGGGGTGCACGGCCCGGTTTTCGGTCCGCGTCAGGCCCCAGAAGTAGGACGTGAGAGGTAGGAGGCAGGAGTTCAGATGTACGAGGCAGTAGGAAGGCGGGATGAGGCAGGCGGCGGGGGGCAGCCAGGGGGTGGGATGAGGACCGCGGAGGCAAATAGCGCAGGAGGGCCGAGAGCAGAGCACGCCCACAGGCCTCAGGCTCGGCCCTCGATCCCCGAGCCTTCGGCCCGCTGCTCTCCTTCGGCGGCGCGCGAGGGGGGGAAGCGAGAAGGAGAAGGCCTTCTCACGGAAAAAGGCCTTCTCACGGAAGCCCCCCAGACCTTCTGAGAAGTTTTGTTGGCCTTCCCCGTCGGCGCCGAGGGCTTCTGAGGAGCCCCGCCGCCTTCTGAGAAGGCTTTCTCCTTCTCGCTTCCCATCGATTCCTCCCCCTCCTCCTCCTCCTCGCTATCCTCCTCCTCCTCCTCCTCCTCCTCCTCCTCCACCCTCTCCTCCTCCTCCTCCTCCTCCTCCTCCTCCTCCCTCCTCCTCCTCCTCCTTCTCCTCCTCCTCCTCCTTCTCCTCCCTCCTCCTCCTCCTCCTCCTCCTCTTCTCCTCGTCCTCCTCCCTCCTCCTCCTCTCCTACTACTACTACTACCACCTACCACTACTACCACTACTACTACTACTACTACTACTACTACTACTACTATACTAATACTATTACTACTACTACTACTACTACTGCTACTGTACTACTACTACTACTACTACTACTACTACTACTACTACTACTACTACTACTACTACTACTACTACTACTACTACTACTACTACTACTACTACTACTACTACTACTACTACTACTACTACTACTACTACTACTACTACTACTACTACTACTACTACTACTACTACTACTACTACTACTACTACTACTACTACTACGACTACTACTACTACTACTACTACTACTACTACTACTACAACTACTACTACTACTACGACTACTACTACTACTACTACTACTACTACTACTACTACTACTACTACACTCCCATTGAGGCGGACCGCAGTGTCTGTTCATGCAAGAGAGCACGGGCCTGGTAGTAGCGGAGCTGTATGTAGTGACCCCGCCTAACCTGACCTGACCCTACCCAGCCCTCCCATTATGTCTGCAGCGTAAAAGGCTGCAGCGACTCGGGGACCTCTCCCTGTAACGAGGCCTCTGAGGCAGCTCGAGCGAACAGAGCATCTGCCGCGAGAGCGCAGAATCTTGGCGGGAGCTGAACGCACTCTCCCGCCGAAATGTGGCCTGCCGGGTGGCGGCAGCGGCCTCCTCTCATGAGAACATGGAGGGAATCGGAAAAGGCACCGAGGTTGAGAGCAAGGAAATGGGATGGATGTTGTGCTGCTGAGCCGAGAGTGCACATGTCGATATACACACGGGCCGACTCTTGGCAGCCTGATGTCCGTCGGAGTGATGTGGGGACTTTGAGCTCTGGGAGCTCCCACGGGCACGCAAGAGGGGCGGAAGCTCTCGGGGGGGGGGAAGGGAGATGCAACAAGACGCTGGCTCCTATACGAGCTGCTTGCCAACATATAAGCAACACCGCTCCCAGGTGCGAGTTGTCGACCGTCACTAACTCCAAATCTCTTGCATTACAAGTTGCGAGACCCCATGGCACTGGTTTGGATCTCGAGATCTTGCGGCGATTCGTGGGCTGTGCTCTATCATGGGACCAACTGTCGGGATTGAGGGACGCCACATCACCCAGAACACGCCCGTCACGCAGGAGGGAGAGGATAGTGGAGATGGCATGGTCCCATAAGAGCTGCCTTTTAGTCCTATACCTATCCTCAGAAATGTCTACGCGCAGGACTGGATAGTGTGTTCCCGATGTGCGCTGCCTTGCCATAAGGAGCTGCGGGATATCTTGCACATGTCGGGAAAACTGATCAATATATATATATATATATATATATGCGTGTGTAGTAGCATGCCCTGCGCTGTAGGAACCTAGGCACTGGTGTGACTGGATCGCTGGCCTGCACTCCCCTGTACATGATTTTGTGAACGGGGGAAGAGGGAGCTCCAAGGAGGCAGGGGCCAATAATCTTGAAGAGGGGGGCCTTGGCGATCTCTGGATATAAACCTGAATTACGGAGCTGCTTAGATTATACTGTGTCGTTGGTTCTTCAGCTGCTAGCTCCTCTGTCGTGAGCCTGCGCGTGTGTGTGAACAAAAGGCCTATACACCTCGAGGACCCGTGCCTCACATGCCGCAGGAGCCTGAGACGTGTGCGGAAATTCTTGCCGCATGCCTGGCAAGTGGCCCCTGCGCAGTACCATCTCGCCATGTCCAGCTGTGGGTGGTCCCTCGACCTGTGTGCTGCCCAGGATGCGGCAGTGGTGAGGACGGCGTCACAGTCCCAACATGGGAAAACTATTGGGAGAGGCGGGGCGGTGAGGAAGGGTGGGCCTGGGGCTGCAACGTCGCGTGTCACACGCACGAGCCGTTCGTGCCATGCGTTGTGCGTCAGACTGTCAAGGTGTTGCCTAGATGCGTGCGCCTGTGCTGCCTTGACAAGTCCTATCCACTTCCTGCGAGACTGCCGGATGAAATAAATCCAACCTGCTGTTGGGGGTATCGGCCTGAGCGAGCTTGGGAGGTCCACCATGCCTGCCAACCACAATAGATCCTCCTCAATGAGCTTGGCCCATGAGTCCGCGTGCTTCGCTGCTACATCTAATAGAGCACACAGCATGCGGGGAGCGTGGTGGAGGAGTCTGGGGAGGTATGCGAGGCGACGTATTCTAACATAAAGACGCGCAGGCAAA